AGATAGTGGTAAGAATAATAAACTATAATAACAAAACTCTTATCAATAGTTAATCGTTGGAAATAGAAGGTCAAATAAACATGGGTAAATAGACTAGGAATAGTAATCACAAAACCTTAAAAATCATTACGTAATAAGATGTGTGTAAATAATTAGATAGTGAAGAATACAAAGAGGCGGATAATGACAAACAAATAATGGATGTGGAAATAAGGTTAACAATAACACAAATAGAATAAAATAAATAATGATTATAATAAAATTTAAAATAAAAATTAAAAAAAATAAAATAAAATAAAAAATAAAAAAAAAATGTTATACATGAAAGTGCAATTCAACGGGGATGTGGCTAGTGACACTCTGAAATATAGGTTAACCAAAGTAATCACCAAGACATTCTACGCAGCCAATCTTGCGTTGACCTTCTCTTGTCGTCCAGCGATGTCTACTCAAACGAAGGATAAGTTACCTGAGTTGGCCTCTTCCATGTGCATTTACAAATTCAGCTGCTCCTGTGGAGATAGCTATATAGGGCGTACTACCAGGCAACTTAACCAACGAATGAGTGAACATTTACCAACTTGGTACATAAAGGGTCAGAGAAAAACTATTCGGAGTTCTATACTAGCACATCTTATTGATAGCGGTCATACAGTAGAGAAATCGAAATCATTTCGAGTTATCTATCGTATACCTCCATCATTTCCCGACGGAGTCCGTTCCCGTCTCCTATATATAGCTGAAGCCATTGGAATTCGTACATATAACCCCAATCTATGTGTACAGAAGAAATACGTGACTCCCCTATCCCTTCCATGGCCAGTTATAACTTAACTAACATTTTTTTAATTTTTTATTTTATTTTTTTATTTTTTATTTTTATTTTAAATTTTATTATAATCATTATTTATTTTATTCTATTTGTGTTATTGTTAACCTTACTTCCACAACCATTATTTGTTTGTAATTTTCCGCCTCTTTGTATTCTTCACTATTTAATTATTTACACACATCTTATTACGTAATGATTTTTAAGGTTTTGTGATTACTATTCCTAGTCTATTTACCCATGTTTATTTGACCTTCTATTTCCAACGATTAACTATTGATAAGAGTTTTGTTATTATAGTTTATTATTCTTACCACTATCTGTTCACCTGTCTTCGTACTATCAACTTGTACTTTTACCTATTTTATGTGTAGTGACTTATTCTATTTCATTGTGATTATTGACTCATATTGCCTTGATTGGTTTAACATTTTCGTATAAATATTCATGTATATTAGAGTAAAGCCTGATGACGATCTAATTGAAAACAATTGTTCGCTTATATGTGTTGTTCTAATTTTCACAATGGGAATCTATAATACTCGTGGTAGGTGACTTCAATGCCCAAGTAGGTAGCAAAAAGACATTTAGGTGGGTAATTTGGTATTCCGGCTCAGCGAACAGATGATGGTGATCGTCTGATACAACTGTGCTCAGACAATCGTTTGTTTTTAGCAAGCACTAATTTTAAGCATAAAAAGACATCTTTTAACATGGTGACTCCCTGCACCAAACCAACGATGGACTCAAATAGACCATATTGCCATCAGTCATCGTTGGAGAGGTTTGACAGATGACTGTCGCTTATCCTGGAATACCTGTTTGGACTCCAATCATGCTTTAACACGAGCATGCATTTGCTTGCGCCTCAGTGGACGCAGAAAAACCACATTAGGAAGACCTATTAGAATTGAACTCAGTGATGAGAAAGCCAAAAAAAGATTCCAGGAACAACTAAGGTCATACTTAGGCGATTCCGAAAACGAAGCTGACTCAGATGTTGCTTGGAAAGATATATGAACAGCTGTGGAAACAGCAGTGACATCTATTAGTGGTCTAATCCAAAGGGTTACGAAAAACCAAGGGATTCCTACTAAGTCTATTGCACTAATGGATTTTCGTAAACTCATCCCATCACGCTCTGAACACAATGACGAACGAAAAAAATCAGATCTAGGTTAACCAAAAGTCTACGGAACGATCGTGAGCAATGGTGGGCGACAAAAGCAAAAGAGATGGCAAAAGCAGAGACTGTAAGTAACACAAGATAGATTTTCAGACCAATAAAAGAAACTGGAATGAAGATGTCGAGTGTAAGTGAAACAATCTCGGGAAAAGACAGCACTCTTATTTTCTCTCAGTCCAAACGTTTAGAACGATGGGCGGAACATTTTAAGGAGTAGTTCAGCTGGCCTCCAGCTACTCTACAACTACCCTCCATTCCCAGATAGTGTGAATGGAACATTGAAGTAGATCCCCCAACCCTAGCTGAAGTTCAAAAGGCTATAGTTAATCTGAAACGAGGAAGGGCAGTTGGTCCAGATGGATTGGCTCCAGAGGTCTTTAAGGATGGTGGTCCAATTTTAGTGATTAGGTTGACTAATATTTTAGCTAAAATCTGGGAGTTGGATGTAATCCCATCCAACTGGTCGCAATTACTGATGGTTTCAATATATAAGAAGGGGTCAAAATCATCCCAAGATAACCATAGAGAGATTAGTTTGACTAATATAGCATCTAAAATACTAACCTCAATAATTATTAGACACCTAACTAAGACTCGCGAACTGCAAACACGAGAAAATCAAGCTGGCTCCAGACCTGGTCGTGGCTGCATCGACCACATATTCACTATTCGTCAGGTTCTAGAACACAGGCATACTAATCGGCGTCCGACAATGGTGGTCTTTCTCGACTTAAAAGAAGCATTTTACTCTGTAGACCGCGAGATTCTGTGGTAGTGTGTCATTGAAAGGCGTACCTCAGAAGTACATAAACCTTTTGAAGGCTCTTCACTCGAACACTAATAGTCGAGTCAGAGCTTATAGCGAACTGTCATCTGCTTTTGCAAGGCTGTCCACTTTCTCCATTTTTGTTTGACTTCATCATAAACCTACTGATGAACATAAAGTTCTCGTCGACTGAATTTCCGGGCACTGATCTACTACCAGGAGGTCCACTTATCGACTTGAAATACGCAGACGACATAGTCCTGTTTGGTAAACGCGCTGATAAAATGCAGTCTTCTTGTAGCACTGAGCAACAATGTCAGGAAGTTCTAGGTGCGTTTCTCCCCCTCTAGATGCAAATTGTTGCTTCAGGACTGTCATGCGTCAACATCTGAACAAATAATAGGAAGTGAAGTAGCCCAACGCGTCGACAGCTTCACTTATCTTGGAAGTTGGGTCAACCCTAATGGGTCAGTGTCTGACGAAATTTCTGCATGGATTCGAAAAGCTCGTTTAGCTTTTGCCAACTTACGTCACCTATGGCGAAGACGAGATATCCGTCTATCAATAAAAGGACGAGTATACTGCGCAGCAGTTCGTTCTGTTTTACTTTACAGCAGCGAAACATGGCCATTAAGAGTCGAAGATACTCGTAAGCTACTAGTATTTGACCATAGATGCCTTAGAAATATTGCTGGCATCTGCTGGTGTTGGGGACGATAGATCCCCAAAACCCATATTTTGTAATTTCATCTTATCGATTAACTTATCGATTAAATGTTTAAATATTTGTATGGGGGTCGATTGATGAACTCATTGATTAATGTTTAAAAACTTTCCATGACAATATCGGTTGTAAATATTTGTATAAATACGCTTGATTTGTGTGCTTGACCTGACTTGTAATCTGCCGTTTGCCTGTAGAATACACTTTCTACGCCTCACCCAGACTTCTTGATCGAGTTAGCTGAGTCGGGGAAAACGGACCAGGATAGCTATCGAGTCGCCGAATCATTGATCCTTCGTTCCGTTCGAATAAGACGAATCAGTAATAGCGTTCAAGCTTAACAAACCTGACAGCTGGGATCACCGGGTAAGTAATAGTGAGGTTAGACGCAGGGTATTAGGGAATGATGGTAAGTCAATTGATGAGATTGTGAATCTTCATCGACTGAGATGGTTGGGCCACATGTTGCGTGTGTCTGAACACCGATTACCACGACGCGCAATGCTGTCGAGTGTTGGAAACGGTTAGAAGAAAGTTGGGGGCAGCCAAACCAAAACGTGGCATGAGAGCTTGAAGTCACTAACTTCTAGTCTGAGCCATGTTGACAGATGCAGACTACTTGGGTGACATGTCTCAGGATCGATCACATTGGCATCGGTGTATACACTCTTTGTCCTCCCTTAAATCATGAGATTAAAATTGCTTTATATCTTTCTTTCTACGAAAGAATTCTTCCTTCATGTACTATATCCCTGTACACAATCTTTCTTTCATATATTACTACCATTGAAGTAACTACTTCTATGAATTCGGTGTTAATCTTGTTGTGCTAATGAGGTGTGACAGCTTGGACTGATGCATATATGTGCCTGGTCCTACGTTGTAACTGACTATAGAACTTGGCAGTTCGAATTCTAATTTGACTTTCTGATTGCATGTTTATTATGCTAAGTTTATCGTGCATTATTCAGATATGGGCTTTTTGTATGACTGTTCGAATGTAACAGAAGAAAGCAAATTAGAAAATCTAATAAAGTCATGCTTGCGCCCCCCGTTACTTGCCTACCTCAAAGTTTTAGCGACGACCAGTTTTTATACACAGAGTGGATGAAGTGAGATTGAAAGTATTCGATGATCAAAGTTGTCAAAATACTTCTTGTATACTATTAAACCATACATTAATTGGCGTAATTAAGGTAAATAGTTTGAAATAAATAAAATAATTTAGTCGACAAAAACTGGAAGAACAACAACATCCCAAAGGTAATTGAGATCGAAACTTAGAGATACTATGTGAAAAATGAAAACCAATCCAAGAAGAGTAACTCTAAGTGTTCTTAAACTTTCTCTGATTTCAAAATCTCTTACTGTTCTGAGTAAAGTTACAACCAGATACTATTTATGTAACAGTACCGACGCAATAATGTTTGTCAGTAAAAGTATATCCAATCAAAACAATGCACAAAATTATATGAGATCCCGTATAATCACTTACTTTAATGAAGGGATATCCTGTGATGGCTGTGTCCATACAGAGAGTTTAGTGACACATCCTTTAGCCCGAGTATCAAACTCTTCCGGATGGTGAATCAGTGCGTTAGCTGCTTCTGGATTAGCATACTTCACATCTCTCATGTTTTTGATACAAGCAGTTTGTTCTGCAAGTGATGAAACAATAATACTTGTTGGACTAGTCAACAACCGTTTAAAATGATGAAGAATATGCCAAATATGGTGCTTGTCTGGATTCCATATAGGGAATTCCGTGTGCACGCTCACCTCTCCGGTAATCCAGTCTACATGAGGGTGATAAAATTCTTTACATAAATAGAGCTTCTAAAATGAAAAGAACGAGATACATAAGAACAACTGTACACTCCCAATCTATAAAAGCACTACAAAAGCTTTTGACTAAGGTATATGTGAAGAACTAACATCTGTGTATCACTAGGTATATTAGTTTAGGAAAAAAATCTTTTTATAGTACTAAAAAAGCATATTTAGATACTCTAAAGATAGTCCTACATTGGCCTCAAAGACAACTTGCAGTCCGATATTGCTTTCCGATACAAACGATTTTAAAACATAACCACCAATTTATTAACTTTTCATACAATTATGAACTCCTTTACCAAGTGATAGCTTATAGTTCCGGCCTTAAATCATTGTTTTTCAAAGGCTAGGGATACTATAAAATTGACCGTAACTGACGAAAGGAACCAACTCATTTGACCCAGTTAATGGCCTGAACCAAAGATAGAACTAAGAGGAATTATGGAGCTGATTAGTTTACCCATCCCTACACGAAAGCCACATATTTCAGTGCCCTCGTGGCCTGATTCCCCTAACCTGGTTACGAAGCTATCCTCGTAGGGAACAAATAAGGTCTTATTAATCAGATTTATATTTAGTTGGTGTCAGCACAACTAATGTTCAGTGCAAACTAAAATCTGATATATCAACTGGCTTATATTAAATCATTAAACGCTAGTGAATAAATCAAAAGGATACTATACGTTTTAAATGTAAATTCTACTTTATTTACTGTACATTGTTGTTCCTGTCTATTTAGAATATATCTTGTAACCAGTTCAGTCTTGTCTTGATTTATGTCAACACGAGTGAGATACAATCAGGACAGTAGTGAAAAAAGACAAAAGTTGGGTGTAAAAAGAAATAACATAAACGGAGTATGATCAGGTTGACGCACATCCCAGTTCTCAGATTAGATTATTTGATAATACATTCTGACCCTTGTTAAGGGAAACAATAGAACGTTTGATGACTAGTCTTCCGTAGTGAGAACACATTCAGAACTACCGGATAGGTTGACTTGGGCTCAGTGCTAATACGGTGACCCTATAGCATAAAACATCTGTATAGACCAAAGCAAGTGAAGTAGGGTTGAGTATTTTAACCACTTAACAATCATTGAATATTTGACCTTAGATGAAAAACTTAGTGAAAAGATGTTGGGGAGTTACAATCTAAAATTAAAACTTATGAGAATCAAATAAATATAAATTAGGCTGAGATTCTATTGCAGTTTGTTATTCAGTGTGACCACTATATATAAAATCTCAATATATTCTAAGATATTGTTTCCATGACAATCAGTCATTTCAAACATGCTAGTTATTTTTTATTGATGCATCACCGACAAACCGTGTATTTTGATTAATTACACTGGGTCAAGATCAGAAACTTTTATCTGCAAAACTGGTGCTCATAGTCGAGTTAGCGAGATGGCGACAAAATAGAATAGTTTCGTCCACGATATTGAGGTTGAAGTTGCGAATTATTGGTACAGTTAACGAACGTATCATGATGGGCAGAGTATCAAGGATATATCAAATACCGATTTGCCCCAGCAACATCAGTCAGACTATCTTGCCCAGCGACGACCGATCATAGAAACACGGCAGAGGACCGCAAAAAACCCCAACCTTTAAAGCACCACAAGCCGCCAGTTTCTTTTTAAAGGATGGTAGCATACCTCTTTCAAGGTTATTTGGAAGGGCTCGGGGACTAGAGTGTTGCAACACCCAAGAATAAAGTGACCGTTTTCCCCATCTTTAAAAAGGGATTATGTAATCTATCCAATAACTATAGGGGGACAAAAATACTTCCGACCGCATTCAAACTTATCAGTACGTTGTAGACCCTACCTCTAACAGCCAGACTAAGATCAAGACGGCGCTAAAGATGGCCCAGATTTACATAAGTCTCTCTCTCTCAGTCTTTGATGTAAGCAGATTGATACCATCAGTTACGCCACCACCAGCATCCATATGACTACCTAAATGTACAAGCCTTTTGAATAATTCTGACAACAACACGATAATTAAACGTAGGCACAAGCTCCCGCGGGCCTCGCAGGGGTGCCTAACATTAAAAAGGTCCAAAGTACATGCAACACCTTTCGAAATTGCTCGCCAAGTGAATAAACAAGAATTGCATGGCATGAGTACCATCACATAGTAAGACAAAATTATTCACATACTCAAGATTGAAAATACTATCTCCAGGTAAAAAATCCAAAACGCCATCACCTACTTTAAAACAAGAAATAACCTGCTTCCAGGTAACTAAAACCCTCTGTATGACAAACAAAAAGTGAATGACTAGTAGCCGACCGCCAACTGCACCAACGGAACTAAACACTTAGTCAAATGTAAACTCACACCTTCAAAACAATAACTTGGATTAACGAGAAACTAATTTTATGTTGAAGACCATATCAGTATTTTACCCAATGGGCTAAACATGAATCTTTCACAGACCGTAAATTTACGCGATATCTGACTAAACATTGAGTAAAGTATATATCAGTTCTCAGCCATGAGGATTAAGGATTGGAATATACCCCGAGCAAGTACCCAACCTCCCAATTTTGGAGAAAATTTGACCCATTTCGGGAAAGCCGCTATGGAAAATTTAGGGGAAATGGCACCAAAACCCCAAAAAGCTTGTGCAGGTTGAAATTGATTCATACGGTAGACCATATAGGCGAACTTTGCGATGACGTTAAGATAACAGAAACATGGGATTTGTTTATTAGAAGTGAGTAAACGGTTAGTGAACTGGGTAGACAAACATATATTCACATTTCTAAAAACCGACCCTGAAACATTTACTCACCGGCAGTTTTGTTGATGGAAAATCATCAGGCAGAGATAATACAAAATCGAAAACTCCTCCAAAATAGTAACCACTTCGAACAGAAATAATCCCGAGCCATTCTAAAATTCAGTTATGCAATTATAGCACAAACTAAGTGGATCATTTTCACATGGGCTAACAATAACTCCGGAGATATTTTTTAGTTTTAGGAGTGTTCTACATAAGGAAACAGGTTAGGAAAATAGATAATACACTAACAGCTCAGCTAAAATGTGATAACCTTGGTTGAGCATATTTTGTAGCGTTATTTTCAAGCTATGTTACAATCCCTGGCAAAGTCCAATTTAAGGTTTAAAATGGGTATACTTTCCCCCTTTATTACTATTTCACGCCCAATACCTTATATCTTTGTCACAATTTTTTATACTTGCGCTCGCATCTTGTTGTTTTGTCATTGTTGAGGGCAGCCAGTAATGTTCAAGTTACGGCAGACTAGCCAATGGGATGCATTAATTCTAGTCAGTGTAATAGTTATTTATGGATTGTATATCTTGTAGTCGAGCGAGGTTGCCTCAGGTTAGTAAGGTTATCTTATTACCGAGCAGGAAGCTGGTAGATTGTAACGTGCTAAAAACAGATTGATAATACGAGCGTTTCGAGAAGGAAATTGTTTCGAAAGTCAATAAATAATTCATTTAATTGGTAATGTGTAAGAAGACTAATTAAATATATTAGGAGGATAAACGTAGATGCCAATTGGAAAGGTAGGAAGTGGGTGTTAACAAAATACTTATTTTAATTATCTTCATCTACATCGGTTATTAACCGATCATTATCACGCCACATCATTCGAAGCGCGTGAAAGTGCACAACCCAACATATTAGTTTGTGCTTCAAATCAGACTATCAGAGTATTTACATCTTAGTTTTGGTTCCAGGCTTTCAAGTGAGATTTCAAACCTCCTGAAAAACTGCAATTTCACAGTTTATATTTGCTTCATAAGTGTAATCGAAAATGATTATCTGAAGAAACAAACAAATAAATAAATTTATTAGTAATCCAAACATAGTGAGCGGACCGAAATATAAGAATGAAAGGGGAAACTGAGATGAAAATAAGAGAGATAGAAAGTAGGTGCTGACAAGCGGTAATGACAACTGGCAATTTTGGAGACACGCATCAGACACAGCTGACCCGGGAGGGAGTTGTAATTCACGGGTGGGCGCGTGTTTGTTGGAACTCCTCTTGAATCAATTCACTGAAGAAGCTGTGGCCAGTTCGTCCGAATGAACATTACAAATGGTAGCAACTGTTAACGAGACAAGTGTGAGTGTACCTGGGTTTTTGCTCTTTGATGCGTAAATTTTCGCTGGCTGCCTCGAGGAGCGTGACTGTGAAGTCTTGATAATATACTCCTGTTCAAGTGACTCAGTATACTTAAAGTGTTATATTCTATTATCAAGTAATCTCTTACTCTCTTGCAGCTCAGCCTGTCCTTGTGAGATTTTGTTTTAGCCCTATAAATCAGTTGATTACCCGTCTCTGTAGATGGTCTACGAGACTCATGATTGTTCTAAATTGAAGCAGTGCAATGACATTATGGACTTCGAGGTGGGGCCGCACGTATGTTTGAAAAGTGAAGCAGAATGTTCATGACATCACAGTTTGAAAAGTTAGGTTTTAACTCACTATCTACTGCCCATTTTTCTATTTTTGCGAATCGTCTTTGCAGCTTAGGTTATTCTTCTCCGCTTTTTGTGAACCTCCCGCTCTTTTTGTTATCTGCATGGATCACTGCCACTGAGCTAGTTTTTTATAACAGGTAGTTGATAAGGATCAAGAACAAGAATGGACCTGTCTTTCTTGGACCCCTGTTGGACTTAATGGAGGACACAGCTTTTATCTGTATGTTCCCTCATTTGTTCATTAACCAGTTCTCCCATTACCTTCGATTGTATTGGGATTAATGAAACTTGTCTGTAACGGGCTGTATCTTTCCTACTAGTCTTTTTGGAGATTTGATGGAGTGGCCTGTTTCTTTTTTCTTGGCACTTGACTTGAATGTTATCGGTTTCACACCAAACATGACTGTGTCACGGAGACTACTTCCTACTGGTGAAGGGATATGAACATCCTCAATTAGAGGCTGACTATTTGTTAGTAAGTAATTTACGTTTGAAGGTTCTTTGTCCCTGTCTCATTTCATAGCACCACACACATGTTCAGCCACTTCTAAAGTTCCGACGGCTGCTTATGGGAACACTCCATAAGAATAATATCCTGCTTGTCGAGATGCAGTGATATAGTGCTGAGGTCCCCAGCTGGTAATTTATGGCCAAACCATAGACATGTCTGTATAATCTCATCATTTCGAGTGTTAGGACTGTGGTGTAGGCTACTTATGCTGACGAATATATGTAGTAAGTTGTACCGATCGGGAGACGAATCCCTTGAAGCAGAACATTAAATCGAATAGAACAGAAAGAAAATCGCAGAGGAGTGAAAACAAAGACGAAATTAGAGGGACAATGGATAAGATAAAGGTCAACGCAAAGATGTATGTGGTGTATGATTTTCATATTTTACTTAGTCACTGTGTACATTTGCATTGAACAATAGATTGGTTATCCCCACCCGGGTTTCGTTCACTTCAGAACTTGTGGTTGCCGGCATAATCCCCCGGTCAAATACTTTGTGCCGTTTTCAATTAGGCAACACTATTATGATTCTCAAAGCTCAGCTAATAAGGTACTTTGTAGTGTCACCGTTTTTTAGTGACCGTTAATTTATATCAATACAAACGTCTAGGCAGTTCCACTGTACGCGGCTGAAACATGGAGAACTACAACAACTACCATCAAGAAGGTACAAGTATTTATAAATAGCTGTCTACGCAAAATACTCAACATTCATTGGCCGGATACCATCAGCAACAGCCTTCTCTGGTAGAGAACAGACCAGCTTCCAGCTGAAGAAGAAATTAGGAAGACTATGGAAATGAATAGGACATACATTACGCAAATCATCAAACTACTTCATGAGGCAAGCTCTAACTTGGAATCCTGAAGGGAAGCGGAAAAGAGGAAGGCCAAATAACACATTACGTCGGGGAATAGAAGCAGATGTGTAGAATTATGGTCTACTACGATATTAGTACTGCTCTAATAATAGACCTAATCCTAAATTTGTAGATTTGTCATGATATAACTGCCAAATCTATAAGATCTTACGTGGAAGTCATACCATCGACTACACCAACTCACTGTATCGTATCAATTACCAATACATGATGTAGAACAAGGTTAGGCTAGAGGAAGAACAATATATTTAATATGAATAGAAGATATAAGGTAACATTCAGCAGAGACCACGCCTGCATGGCCGAGCCATGCCACTCGATCAACTCCAGTTCATTCCTTTCATTGTTCCCGCCTTTTTCATTGGTAGGCAATTCTCCGTGTTAAATATTGAGTATCTATTTTCTGAGTAGTGTTGTGTTCAGCTTTGAAGATTGTGTGGTCATGGTCCAATGCCACTACAGATGTATAAAAACTGGAAAGAGCTAGAAAGGATTGCTTGGGACAGTGTTGGATGGAAAATGCTGGTGAGTGGCCTATGATCCTTCATGAGGTGTAACAGGCGTAAGTAAGTAATGTATATCACCATTCCGCCTCCTTTTTTATGTACTCCATAGTATCTGAAAAGTGGCAACCTTGCAAGCTCACTTCTTCATCCGTGACGTCGGGAGGCAGCCATGCTCCAGTTAAGACTATGATCTTTAGATCCACCTGAAAGCATATACTTATAATTCCTCCTAGTTTACCGCTTAACTCCCTTACGTTGTAGCAGAGGCACTCAATGGTTTGTTCCACCACCTGGTGCTCCTCGACAACAGCATCCACCTTATGGTTGTCAAATAGATTGTTGTGTGATGTGTGTTGGCAAAACATTAGTTCCCCTTTTTTGGTAATGATCATCAGGAGAAACGGATTATTGCCATATCTGACAAGTGATAAAAGTTCTCTCTTTACTACCTTAGGCTTGTGAGGGGCTGGCTGGATTGCTTCTAAGAATACAGGTAGCCTTTTAGCCATGATTTATAACATTGGTGTTTAGATGTGACAGGCTTACCGATGATTTTTGACCTCGTGATATTTTCCGAATGCAGTTTGAAAATATGGCACAACTGCATGTAAGCTTCAGTCACTCAATCTTCAGGGGAACTTGGGAAACAAATTTCTCTTTATATTACTGTTTTGAGACTTCAATGTCCTTATTCTCCTCTTTGAAGGGAGTTCGAGCTGCAACATTGATACTAATGACCTGGTAGTAGAATTCAGCCAGATTCAAAGAGCAGTTCAGTATACCAGGTGACGACAAAGTGGGCAATACTTTAAGCTGGATCTGAATTTCACTAAGCGTAGAAGGTTGCCTACGCATTAGTATTGGATATCCTCATGTGAAGAAATTTTCTCCTTGTTTCAATATGTCTCTGCACGACCAGTCCATTAACTGAGTACGCCGCATTTTAAAAGTAAAGAATAGCTAACTAGGATGCTTTTGCAGAAGGGTATTCTGGCGGAGAAATCAAAGTTATGTTGGAGAAGAATAAGGTAAATTTCTTATGGATATCACCCTTCAGTCCGTTGATAGGTACAAACTCTAATTGCCGACCACTAACAAACCCACTAGATCGTCCGCCTAATGGAAAAACGCCCATTAGGAATACGCACAGCTTCCAAAGGATGGTGTCCCTCGAAATCTACAACTTACTAGACTAGCTCTGAGGCCTTACGCGATAAATACTCTTAGAAAATTACACGTGACAGAACAACTTATCAGTCTCGTCTAGTAGGACATACGAAAAGCAACTATAAACTATGAAGTAGTTGACTGAAGATAAAGCGTTTAACCTTATCAAGTGTTGTATTAAGGTGTCTTGACAGAACACAATACCAATAATGGGTTTTCTAGGCTACTAGCTAGAAAGTTTCGATCTATTTAGCACCGCACCATAATATCCTTCCTTCGAAACATTGTCACTTCATTCATTTTCATTGACACGTTTGAGTCCTTCAAAACCGGAGAAACCTTGTCTTGCTTGAACTCAAGCAAATCTGACTGTTTACGTAGTGTCCAACCCATATTCCTAGTGAAACACGCGTACCCACTGTGCCTTTCGCTCACTTCTATTTTTATATGCCACTTACTCAAGGAAACTTTGCTCTCTGACTGCAAAAATAATCCAGATGTACCCCTACACAAAGTAGGGTGACAAGGTGTAAAGTTCAA